ATACTGGGAACTATAAATGTGATGCAGGAAAATAACAGGACCTGGGTACAGAAAGTGATGGTGAAAGATATATGTATAGCTTACCGATCTGCCCCTTCCCCATTGTAACAAGCGCCAAGAGGACAACAATTGTAACTGTCATCATCTTGTCAACTTTGTCGTTACGACTGCTCCAATTGCAGTATTAGTCCGAGTTTAAGTTCGGGTCCAGCTTACTCACTGATAGGGACGTCAGGTTGTACCCAGACAAAACGATGAGTAACGCTTTCAGCTATTATTTAGCTAATATTGCATTCAATGTGTTTGATTCTATCTGTGTTTTGTTTTAACGGCTCACTTAGGATTATTCCAGGTGTAAAGAGGCCTGTAAATGATCGATCTGGTCCAGGCTGTTGTGTTACGTTAATTACGACAGGCTGTTAAACCAAGTCAAGCACCTGACAGTCCGACCCCGGAACAATCACTTAGAACTATCTTAATTTGACGCGAAGAGACAATGTTAACACGCAATCAAACACACCGCAATGTCTGACCATGCGAGGCAAAGCTTCAGGGGACTAATTTCTTACCAGACACGTTGTAATTTGAAAATGAAACGATGGATGGACGGACGGACGGAAGGATGGATGGATGGATGGATAAAATAACAAAGTGAACTAGTCAAAAAAGTACATTATTTGAGTAGTTGACTGTAAATGTATTTGGTCTGTTGAAGCCTTTTTTATATTAGTGACAGCCAGTTTAAAGTGATAGTGGTCCAAATGGACACAGAAATGGAACAGAACGAGTACCGGGCAGGCATCAGGCTTTTGACTTTAGAGAAAAGTACTCCCCAAGAAATTCATGACCGCATGTCACGAGTGTATGGGGAATAAGTGTCTTTGCTAATCCACTGTCAAACGTTGGGCAGCTATGTTTAAGGCTGGTAGAGCAAGCCTTGATGATGACCCAAGGTCTGGACGTCCCTCAACTTTCATCAGTAAAGATTCAATCAAGGAGACAGAAAACCTTATACTATCAGATAGACGTATTACCATTGCTGAAGATGAAACTATTATTCATAAACATTTACAGATGAATAGTTATCGACTCGATATTTGTCATTGCCAGAGAAAATATAGAGCTAACTGAGGAGGATTTCGTCAATTCAAAAAGAGACTAGTAACATGGGTCGACCACTATGATCCCGAGTCAAAATGTCAATCCATGGAATGGCACCATTCCACTTCTCCGGCACCACCAAAATTCAAGATCAGTGAAGACGATTATGGCCACCGTATTCTGGGATTAAAGGGTGTGATTCTTGTTGTTTACTTAGAAAGTCAAAAGGCAATTACCGGTACCTACTGTGCTGCTTAGCTTAATCGCCTGAGATATTCTATCAATGAAAAGTTGCGAAGAATGCTGACTGCTGGAGTTTCCTTTTTCATGACAATGCCTCTTCTGACACCTCTCGACTTGCAAAGGCTGCTGTGCGACAATGTGGCCTCGAAGAGCTTCTTTACCTCCAATACACGCCAGACCTGGCACCAAGTGATTTCCACCTGTTTCCTAAACTGAATGAACACCTGGCGGAAAGTGCGATGACGACAACGATGACCTCAAAGCTACCGTTAATGTTTTGTTCAGGGTGTCTTCAGATAACTTCTTCCTGACTGGAATTGAAAAGCTTCATTATCGATATGAGAAGTGTATGAAGAGAGATTTTGTAGAAAACAAAATACTTTTATAATTGTTGGTTTGGTTTTGTTAGGCTTAGGACTTTTTGACCAGCCCTCGTATATAACATGGTACACGCTGGTATGAAGGAATTCCGGTCGTGTTTGATCTCAACATCGGCAATCATCGTAGTCGGCCCCCGAAGGAAGAAGTTGATACTCCAAATGTCAAACTTAACATTGAAATCTTGAAATTTCAAGAATATACATATATAAAAAATGAACCTTAAAGGCTTCCGTCCTTAATTAAAACTTGTTTTCTTTCAAGAAAGTTTGTAATAAAATGTTATGCCAGATGAGGTGTGTGATGACCTTGTGTACACCAAGGAAAGTTTGATTGATTTTTGATTGATTAGTAAACTGTTTTATAGGTGTTCGGGCTACTAGGCCCATTTACACCTTGCCCATAATAAAGGTTTGCTAAGTACCTGGATATTTCATAAAGTATCAAAACTGCCACACTCTTGAATATAAGCGAGAATGACATTCTGAACATCATGGTGAACAATATTCCGCCAAAATAAAATACCAGACAATGAGAAGTCAATATTGAGAACTGTTAGTGCCTCCACCATTGCCTTACGCTGAGTAACATACTTTTGGCAATGCAAGAAAAAATGAGCTACATTATCAAGCTGATTACACACTGGACAAATACCTTCTGAAAATACTCTTTTTAATTCTGGTTTTGCATATATCTCACTCTACTCATACTCATGGCCATGAACACACAGTTCAAGCTTTTTAAGATCTTATGTCGTTTCTTTAGTCTTAAAACTTTTAAACAAATATTGCCAGATGCTGCCATAATACTTCTTCTTACTGTTGAAAATGTACAAAGAGGTGGTAAATATAGTTTTTTTGTGCCACAGGGTGACACTTTTTGTTTGATTATTTGATTGAGTAGACTCAAAGTTTGATTTAGATATAAACTGTAATTAGGTCCGTGTCATCTATAATCTATAAATGGCTGTACCTTATCAGCTGTTTCGCAAGTCTTAATTTACAATAGTTTAAGTCAATAGTCCCCTTCCTCATTGTAAAGTGCTTCATCCTCCCCATCAGCTACTGTCCTATTCCGCACTCTGTCACAAATATGAACCACCTTGTGGGTGCTGGGATACTATGACGTCATAAAGAAATGTTTAACGTCAACTTTCTTCCGCCTAAAAGCCATGTGTGCGGAATGTTCTTATTTTTCTCCGTTAGTTCGTAATGTATTAATACATAATTTCAAAACAGTTCCGCATACATGTCTACTTTCAGTTATTCAGGTGTTACATTTAAAAACTGCTATCATTACATAAACAGTCATAAGTCTGAAAATGGGACTTTGCAGAGAATGTGTCCAAATGTTTCATGCGAATGTATCTCTGTTATAAATATGAATTGAAGGTTATGAATTGTATTTTTGTGTCCCGGGACACTGTAGTTTTGTAATATAAATAAGCGGTTAAAATGTGATTTTTCAGCATACGGTCCCTTACCGCATGGTTGGTTACAGGAAAAACATTTTTTTATAAATATGTATTTGTGTTGTATCTGTGTAACTGTGTAAATTAAGTAGTCTGGTATTCTTTCTTTGTGTCTAAGGACGAACCCGAGCATGATGGTGGTTGCGCCTATTGTTGCGATTGTGAAGTGAGATCGTGTGTATTGTACTCTTTGTGTATTTGGGGTGGGGGTGGGGGTGGGGGTGGAGGTGGGGGTGGGGGGATGGGGGGTGGCACGGCTGACTCAGTCGTCTAAGGCGCCGCAATTCGCTGTGCAGAGTTGCGTCGCTTGGGCACGCCAGAAACCAATCATTGTGGGTTCGAATCCCGGTTCGCCCCGATTATGTTTCTAGGTTTGTCGGCACCATATCCGTGCTCGTGGGTTTCACCGAAGTGGTAAACGGATGAGACCTGATTCACTTCGGGCTTTCCTCCCACATTAAGCTGACACGCCATGATATGACTGGAATACTGTTTAAATCGGTGTTAAACCCAACTCACTCACTCTTTGTGTATTTGTTGTTTTATTTATATGGTATAGATAACATGTTCCGGATCAGTGATGTTGGTCCTTCAATCTCCCCAAGAACTATATTCGCTGGAGACAGCAAGGTCTCATGCTATTTAAATAATATATCCAGAGAAATCAAACAGAATGGACCATAGGCATTTTTACCATAATATTTAGTAATTATGTAGCATAGGCTTCCATGGGTATGTTATTCCTTCATTCTAACTAGATTAATAAAAACGTGTGATAAGGTCCCAAGGATGGTTGTCTTGAGAAGCGACTGAATGCATCGGCATTAGTGACCTTGTTCATTGCATGTCGTTGGAGTGGTATGTTGCACGTCACTGATTAGTCTGATCCAGCACTCGATTTTTATAGGCCGGATTTATAAAGCACGTGTATTTACGAGTACGGCGTTCACCAATAACACTAAACAACTATGTTATTACGTTGTAAACAGTTTTTATATTTACTTTTAAATTACCTGTACATTCACCGTGCACACATCATTTAAAACTTCTTTCAAACAGGTGAGGTGAGGTGAGGTGAAATTGGGTTTACCGTCGCGTCTAAGATTATTGCACTTATATAGCGACGTGCATGCACGATGTGTGTGTGTGTGTGTGTGTGTGTGTGGCTGCTTGTACTAGTCCGGACTGATGCCGATTTATAGTGCTAGCTCACTGAGATACCATGAATACCCCACTCAGACACAGTATACTGACTCCGAGCTGACCAGTCCTTGTTTTAGCCCCTTAATGTCGAGCGCCAGACAGGGTAACAACAAGTACCATCTTGAAACGTCTTTTGGTATGACGCGGCCGGGGATCGAACCCCGGACCTTCCGCTCTCCGGGCGGACGCTCTACCACACGACCAAGGAGGCGGCCTTTCAAACAGGTTATCTCACGAACTGTGCCTACACTCGTCAGTTTTCCCATCATGTCAAGCACAATACACGGGTCCAAGCATTTAGTGTCCTCGTATGACACGTACTCAGATACGTGGAAGCAAAATTCCTATTCTCACGGATTTGTTATCGGCTGATTGTTTCCACAAAATGGGAAAAATCAACAACAAATTTATTTTTTTTAAAAATCCCCAAAATTACCTTCTGTTTGGTAGGTTTTGGTTAGATTTAGGGTTTATACAGATAGATACCCAATAAATAATCTGTCATAGGCGTTGCTCAGTTGTTTAGTGACCTGCAGTTCAATGATTTCCCAAATCCCTGGCAATAAGCCAAAGGGCAGTGGAAGAATAAGAGAAGATATTTTTGTCAATGCTCTCTATGTTTATTTAACATGTACTACATGGTGCTTTGTAGATCGAAGGCTGGAAGATCGTTGGCTCAGAGACAAGCTGCAAAAATAAAGTTATGGTTAGACAGGCTTTATATTTAACTCACCTATGCCCTTTGAAACAGAGCGCGTTGACTGTAGTAGAGATGTTTTTCTTTGCTAAAGACATATATGTACAAATGGAAAGCTGAAAATTGACAAAGACTTATATATGTGAATGTGTACTCATGTGGAAATTTACACCACCCAAGATAACTTCAGTTAATGATTGGTTAAATGTGTGTGTCCCAAATAGCTTCATATACATTTTGCCTTTGCCTGTGGGATTTTGCAAATAAATTGTTATTTGGCGGCGTAATTTATTGTTAAACACTGATAGTAACTGTATTACATTGTCTGTTGAGATTCAGTAGACGTTCATTACATTGTATTTGGACAATGATAAGTTGTCAGGAATTTAGTATAATTTAGTGTTACAGTGGTGAGGACGTTATTATATCTAGATGCTCGAATTATCTGTAAACTTCCGGAATAGCATGGATGGATGCTAAGCGTTATAGAGACATGTGGTCTATTTCGTGATGTTCTAGGGACACTGGACTGGTCAAGCACTGCGTGGAAAGTTCTGGAAGCTAGTAGATTATATGAGTAGAGCAGGCGCGTACCTGTCTCATGTCACATTTCATCTGAGATACATCAATACGAGCGATTGTGTGAAGATCACTTATCACCCCGGACGCCAAGCCTAGGTCAATTTCAGAAGCTTGACCACTGACCATTTTGAAATCACGACTGCCAATATATTTTTTATTTGATACTGCTATTGAATACTGTACTTCCACTCTATTGCATACTGCCATTATAATTGCTGTTGCCGTTATTTGTATTGAATTGTAAACCTAGTTAATTGTGTGATACAACTGTCCATTGTATTCCATTAGCTGGTTGTTTGTTGGTTTCACACTAAGTTCTTTTATGTACAGATTTCCGTTTTAACATGCAGTTTCAAATTGGGTATCGACACGTAACAAAATATATGACAGATGAATTTTATCTTCCTTAGTCTTACTTAGATGGTAGTGACCTAATCTGGATTACGTTGTTCCTGGTACAATCCTCCAGTTACCTACCCATACAGGTTCCCTCTGTGCCATCCCCGAAGAACCCGTCATTGCAAGTGCAGTTGAATCCACCGGTCGCAAAGCCAGTACAGAAAGCGTCAACATCACAATTGTTGTCTTCGCTTGAGACACACGGGTCAGCTGAAACAGTATACAGGGTTAGTGTTAGTGTTAGTGTTAGTGTTAGTGTCAGTGTCAGTGTTAGTGTTAGTGTTGGTGTCAGGGTTAGGGTTAGGGTTAGGGTTAGGGTTAGGGTTAGTGTTAGTGTCAGTGTTAGTGTTAGTGTCAGTGTCAGTGTCAGTGTCAGTGTCAGTGTTAGTGTTAGTGTCAGGGTTAGGGTTAGGGTTAGGGTTAGTGTTAGTGTCAGTGTCAGGGTTAGTGTTAGTGTTAGTGTTAGTGTCAGTGTCAGTGTCAGGGTTAGTGTTAGTGTCAGGGTTAGGGTCAGGGTCAGGGTCAGTGTCAGTGTTAGTGTTAGTGTTAGTGTTAGTGTGAGTGTGAGTGTGAGTGTCAGTGTTAGGGTTAGTGTCAGTGTCAGTGTCAGTGTCAGGGTTAGTGTCAGTGTCAGTGTCAGTGTCAGGGTTAGTGTTAGTGTCAGTGTCAGTGTTAGTGTTAGTGTTAGTGTCAGTGTCAGTGTTAGTGTTAATGTTAATGTTAGTGTTAGTGTTAGTGTTAGTGTCAGGTTCAGTGTTAGTGTTAGTGTTAGTGTTAGTGTTAGTGCTAGGGTTAGGGTTAGTGTCAGGGTTAGGGTTACATAGGCTCTATCGATGAATAGGTTGCTATTAGTATCAAGTATGGTCGTTTGAATCTTAACAATAGCATCAAATGATGCAAACTATCACGGGACCTGATGAACCTGCAGCAATTCCGATCAGGAGTCAAACGTTTTGGGACCCAGACGTTCTCAAACCTTTGTCGTGCCCCGTTCATTCCTCTGAATGTTCTCAAATCTCTAATAAGAGAGGAGCGATGGGGAAGCCCTGTAGTGAAAGCGTTTTCTCGTCACGCCGAAGACCCGGGTGCGATTCCCTACATGGGTACAATGTGTGAAGCAATGTCTGGTGTGATATATTATCATATAAAATGTTGGTGGTCATCCTGATTCTCTACCTACAAGGCTCTCCCTTCCCTTCTTGAAATCTGCTACCCACCTCTCAACAGAGGCAACCGAAAGAGCATCATCCTCTATCGCTGACACTATGTCCCCATGGATGGCTCTTGGAGTTACCCCTATCAGTTGGAGGTAATTTATGACAGCACTGTAGCCAGATTTGTCCATTTTCATCACACGAATACCAAGCCACGCTTTGATGCCTACAGACATATGCTGCTTGTAACCATTGCAGGTATTGTACTTAATGGACGCAAAATGTTAAGGGTAAGTAAAACATCCTTCGTAGGTAGGCTCAGGTCCCTTCAGCTACCCCTCGTTCTTCACATGATCATTCAACATGCATACACCTACCAACACAGCTTCTGCCATCGCCCAAGAATCCGTTAATGCAGGTACAGGTAAATGATCCGTTCTCCATTGCATTACAGGTAGCGTTACCATCACAATCGTTGCCTATACACGGGTCAACTGAACCCAATCAAAGAGAATTGATTAAAGCAGTCACCAAACATAATGTAGTCACTTCATATGAAAGCGAACCATCAAGAATCAGTCATTTGTGTATAACGCCATTTATGGTATTTCAGTTACATCTAAGCGGTGAATGTTTGCCAGTGTTATTCCTTGTTTCATATGATGGTGGTATCGGGCTATTTCTACATATTTCAAGTGACATGTCAGAAAACTGTATGACATAAGAAGGTATAAACCCATGTTTAATGGCGGCTAACAATGACACAAACAAGATGGGTATTCCATGGCGATTACATGAGTAGAGAGAGGCAGATGTTTTCCTGATCAGCTTAAGCTGTCTGATACAAAACATTCGACCCGGCAACGTTTCAATTTTTTAGCCAAGTACAATATTCGAGTATATACTCCTTTTGCGCAACAGTTCATTTTGGTGTCCCCAATGATGTTGTAATTTTATCATGACTAAGGTACTCAAGTTGTCACTTGTACTTGTGCTTCACAATCCTTTGATGGTTTTAGGGAGTGGAATATGTGCAGTGCAAATGTATATATTATGGGTGAGGTAAAATGGGGTTTAACGTCGCGTCCAAGATTATTTCACTTATATAACGACGTGCATGTGCATGTGCATGTACGTGCATGTACGCGTGTGTGTGTGGCTGCTTGTACTAGTCCGGACTGATGCCGATTTACAGCTCTAGCTCACTGAGATACCATGCCGCAGTTTGACATGAATACCCCACTCAGACACAGTGTACTGACTCCGAGCCGACCAGTCCTTTTTTAGCCCCTTAATGCCGAGCACCAGACAGGGTAACAACAAGTACCATCTTTTAACGTCTTTTGGAATGACGCGGCCGGGGATCGAACCCCGGACCTTCCGCTCTCCGGGCGGACGCTCTACCAGTAGACCACCATCACTGGGAGATATAACAGACAGAGGATGGTACTTTAAAATTAGTACAGGTATAGATTGGCTTAGTATGGCATGAAACACAAGGTCGACTAGAGCCAGGTATATTATCCACCCATTGTACTGCAGATACATTTGTCATGAAAATTCATGTTTACTTTCCTTTTCTGTTCAGGCACATGCGTACAGTGGGGAATAACAAGCATTTACTACTTAAATGTCTCTATTCCATTTGCATGTAAACATTCCACATAGCTACGCGAATAAAAGAAATTAGAATGTGGGCGAATAATGTTTTTTATTATTATTTGGCTGAATATAGAAAAGAAATGTTAATGACGCTGTGGAAACCAAAAGCGTACGTTGTGATCAGACATCATGTTGTAGGCCCGGATCTATGGTATTGTATGTATAGCTTTCTAGTCGGGATCAGTACCTTCAGGTTCTACTACACCAAATCAGTACCAGTTTGGAGAGTGTGGTTTTCGTAGGGAGCCTTCAGTACAGATCGAGAGATATCTGCAGGCTGCGATTGGAGGATATTCTGTAAGATTTTTATGTCTTTCAAATGTTCATCCATCCAGTTAGTAAAACTGACCATGTTTTTCTATATTTAGTACTGTCTTTTTCAACATGATGACTTATGCTGAATGTGACCACAGCTATTTTCAAGTAGGTGACATTTGGTGCGAAACTGGAGGTGTTGTGTTTAGCTTCCGGTACTAGGAAAAGGAGCTGACTAAGCTAGTCATTTTTTATTTTTTTATTACTGCTCTAAGGCCAAACTGTGTACACACGTACAGGTAATAGCTGTTGAATGCTTAGTTATTTTAAAAAAAAAATTAACGTTACTATAGAAGTCTATCGGAAAACATTTGGTTGTGTGTAACCTTCAAGGTAATTTAGATGAAACCAGTTATCAGTATACATACTATATAAGTTTATGAAAACTACGCGATGCTAAAACATATCTCCCATATGCCATATATGCCTTAACAGGATTCCATATTTACAGGTTCTGTGGTATTTGTAAATGCACGAAAAATATATTGCTATATTCAGTTTGCCATTGTGGATTTGACTACAATTATGTAACAACGATTCAGCCACTATGAATACACTTTTATGCCTGCAGAAAGATGATGCATGGTTGTGTATTTGCAGCTTGTAACCAGGGAAAGTACTTAATACAAGCAAAATGTTAAAGGTGTATTAAACATCCTTCTTAAGTACGCTCAGCCTCTCCTCGTAGTTTAAATGATTCTTTAACATGCAAGCACCTACCAACACACTCTCTGCCATCGCCCAGGAATCCGGGATTGCATGTACAGTTAAATCCACTCCCGCTTGGAGAACATGTAGCGTTACCATCACAATCGTTGCCTAAACACGGGTCAGCTGGAACAATCATTCATCACTAATTAGAATAGTTACCTGACATGAATGTAACCTATTGGTATGGAATCTAACCATTAAAAAGTACAGGACATTATGTTTAACGCCACTTTGAGCAGTAAATGTTAGTATGCTGCCGGTAGCTTGCAATTAAACAATAAGAAATGGTTATCCAATGATGATGTCATGTGAAGAGGGAAGCAGGTATTCTCATGATCAGTTTAAATGATTACATATACAAGACATTAGGTCTAGTAAACTTTTGATAACATTTATTTAATTAAATCCAATAGTAAGTGAATCCTGCTTTTGCCCGGCAGTTTATATATGTGTCTACATGTCTATGATGATATTATGCATGTCATTTTGTCTGAGATATACAAGTTGTCACTTGAGGTTCTGCTTCACAATCCTTTGATTGTTCCTGGTCTTGGAATATGTGCAATGTAAATATAGGGTCGATAGTTAAAAAAAATTGTATTGTCACTCGAAGATATCATAGGCAGTTCATGATACTTCAAAATCTGTACATGTGAAGAGTGGCTTAGTATGGTATAAGTCACAAGGTGACAAGAGCCTGGAATGTTTCCCTGAAGATTGTCCACGCATTGTTACACATACATGTGTCATGAATATGCAACTTTACTTTCCCTTTCTTTCAAGCATATATGGGCAAATGGTGAGGACTGTCATTACAACAAACATTATTATTAAGGTTTCCCGATTCCATTTGCATGTCTGCAGTAAACAGTATATAAATTGTAATGTGGGAGATGTCTGATGGTACGGAAGCCCGTTAGGGCCATTTTTTTCTTTTCTTTTCGATACTATCTTGAAATTTCAAGATATAGAAGCTGATACTAGTATCTTGAAATTTCAACTTATTATCTTGAAATTTCAACTTAATATCTTGAAATTTCAACTTCTGTATCTAGAAATTTCAAGATAGTATCTTGAAATTTCAACTTAGTTTCTTGAAATTCAAGATAGTATCTAGAAATTTCAACTTCTGAATCTTGAAATTTCAATGCAAACTGAGAAGAATGATCAGTGGACTGGCTCTATGGTATTATATAGTCTGCTCATATAGAAGGAATATCTTGTCGGTGATTTAGACTGTATTTGTATACATACTATATAATTTGATGCATGGATGCCGACCATCCGATGCTAAAAACATTATAGTTTACATATACAGTATATGCCTTTACAAGAGATAAGTGCAGTGTCTGCAGTATTAGTAAATCCCAGAAAAGGAAATATTGTTATAATCAGTGTGCCATTGTTGATTCGATTTGATTTCTATTGTGTCACGACGATTCTGTCTGATACATGTATGGGAGGAAAACCATGGTACAAGCTGTTTACCAAACAAGGTGACACCGACGCACAATGCTAATGGTGGTCACAGACCTGGGCAAGACATAACGATGAAATGTCGTTGTAAAAAAAATATGTGTACAATGTTTTAAAAGGATGACCTGATGGGCACGTGGCCATATCACTGGTTTGTAGAATGTGATAATATCAACTTGTTATTTAAAGTTAGAGACCGACGGAATAGCAGGAATATTGCTGAGTGCGTCGTTAAACCACAAGCAGTTATTTTGTATAATAATGGGCTCTACTCACGAGGAATACAGTTTCCAACAGTCCCATTTCCGACAAAGGGCGAGTTGCACATGCATTCGAAGGAAGTGGGAGTATCTTCACAAGCTGCATTTGTGTCGCAGTTGTCAGTGCCATCTGTACATTCGTCAACAGCTGAAATACGATACAAACAAAGTGGTCGGTGAAGTATCTTAATGACATTCAGTGCTATTGGAATGGCGATATTTCATGATGAACGGAACTATAATAAGAACAAATATAACTTGTTTACATTCAGCAGTAATTGCAGAGGAAATGGACATTTTAAACGTTAACATGACAAAAGCGATGACATCATCAACTCAACACATATATATATCTGATAATAAACAATGTCACTCTTATTTCATTCGATAATTGACACAAAGACTACAAGACATATATTTACAAAATTGATCTCAATCTAAATCTGAATCAAACAAATGTATTTATAACCAAATGGTATTTTTTTTTATTTATATCCCGAACAGTATTTAGCTTGTTTATGTGTTAAAAATATTCCGAGATTCCGGAAGATATCGATGTTGTTCACATGACCTATTTATTAAAGCTGGGCGTTACACGTGTATTAAAAGAGTAGAACGCATGTGTCAATCGTGCGCCCTGAATGACATTGACGATGAATAACACTTCCTTCTTATATGCCCATTGTATGCAACATTAAGGGCTAAGTATGTACCTGAATATCACTATGTCAATCCCAATGTCTTTAAATTGATATCTCTGTTAAACAATTCGAAGTACTTACTTTTACAAAATTTATCTTTGTACATATATCATGCAATGAGACCCAGGAAAATAGTATATTATAGACTCTACTGCTCTGAATGTACTAATTATGACAGTACAGTAAACTACGGTTATAACGAACTCAAAGGGACCACTAATTTTAGTTCGTTATAACCGTAGTTCGTTATAAACCTATATACAGCATATGTACAACAAATGGCCGGGACTAAAATATAAGTTCGTTATATCGGTCAGTTCGTTATAAGCGTGTTCGTTATAACCGTAGTTTACTGTAGTATAGGCCTGTGGCCTCCTCGGCACGGACTTAGATGTGCGAGATACTCTAAAGTGTTATTATTACACGCGGAAAGCGCACGTACAATCTCCGAGTTAACAACAACAACGGCACGGACATAAAGAAATCATATCTAAAATGGAACGCTCAAAGAAAAGGAAAAGGAGAAGTGACCGTATAAAATAATAGTAAAGCTTACGTGTAACACAGACGCTGGCGGGTCGATCACAGATTTGACCAGTGGCGCAATTCACGACACATGGCGGGCCTGGATGAACATTGTATACAACAGGTTATGGATAGAGTTTATAGTTTGAAGAGTAGGTGACAGGTTCACTATTTTGGTAAACATAGGATTCTATAGACAATACATAGAAATCTACTCTGTGATGTTTGTACAATTGTGATTGGCGGCCGAATGAAACGGTAAGCCTTTAGTAATGGAAAGGTGTCAGCAAATTGACACACAGATATTCTTTCCTTGATCACACATCTCGATTAAGAGACCGACCATTTGATCTCCCAGGTAGGGTGTTGTGTGGATTGGGTGGCTGTTGAAGGGGAGACCTGGAATTTGCAGGTGTATCTCACATCCAGACAAAATCTACCCACACACACAAGCACACAGGCGCGCGCGCACACATACACACACACACACACACACACACGCACGCACGCACGCACGCACGCACGCACGCATCGCTTTATAAGTGCAACAATCATGGACGCGACGTTAAGCACCATTTCACCTCATCTGACATCACTTGTTGGAAGATAACATATTGCACACATGATAATGGGGTACACGTGCCCAATACGAAGACATTTCAAGGAAAATGACAAAGCTCAAATATCATGTGCTCATCATTTGACTGGCACATGCGTATGGGAGAAAGGAGATTACACATTGGGGAAGATTGCTGAAATCGGCCTGTACTGCAGGTTGTTATATGTGGTAATCTAACGCATAACAAGTTCACATCTGGCGATGCTGAAAGCACGTGAAGGAACTGTGCCTTGAGGTTCGGAAGAAATGCTACTGTTAAAGTTGACGTATGCGGTCTAGCATTGTCCTGTTGTTAGTTTATGTTAGCATTGCTCATAATGGGAATAACATGCAGTGGTGTTGCCTCGAACTTACACCAGTGTGGTAGACTCCCGCCCACAGCATTACACTTCCACCCCGTGGGGATTCTGTGTTAACATTGATCCCCAACAACCTATTGTGGTCGCAAGTGGCCGTCATATAGCAGAAGTATTGCGGATGTAGGCGTTAAACAAAAATGCGAAGCCTATTCTACTACGTCCGATTAGGACAACCGATACTTGAATTGCTGATGTTATAGAGGACACTGCTTTCCAACTTTCCCGCATGGATCGATCACGTGAAGTGAAGTACTGGCATTGGTACCGCTACCCAAGTCAAAAATTAAATATAGTGAGTGAGTATGGTTTAACGCTGCTTTTAGCAATATTCCAGCAATATCACGGCGGGGGACACCAGAAATGGGCTTTACACATTGTACCCATGTCGGAAATCGAACCCGGGTCTTCGGCGTGACGATCGAACGCTCTAACCACTAGGCTAACCGACCGCCCCATTAAAAAAATAAAAAAAGAAAGAAAATAAAGTAATGGTGGTCTGGTACAAATATAATACCCTGGCTTATAGCTGACTGCAATTCTCTTACTTTCAATCGTCCGACAATGTTGTTCTGCTGTGTTGCAGTCAGTCGTAATTTTGCAGTCGAACAGCTGCATACAGACGTTTTCAGCAACGGAGAACCTCCCACCAAACCATGCTTGTCGTAAAGGCGACTATGCTTGTCGTAAGAGGCGACTAACGGGATCGAGTGGTCAGGCTTGCTGACTTCATGCACGTCATCGTATCCCAGTTGCGTAGATCGATGCTCATGATATTAAGCACTGGACTGTCTGCTCCAAACGCGATTATTGACAGACCGCCGTCTTATAGCTGGTATATTGTTGAGTGCGGCGTTAAACAACGATCAAACGAACAAATTACCAACTTGGTACAAAACAATTTCATTGTATCACATGTGTATTTCTAGTTTTTGGTGTATATGTCACTGTAAGTATGATACAGACCACCCGTTTTCCGTTCATACTTACATAGTGAAGTGAAGAGCGAATCAATGATACACATGAGGGTCTCGAAAGTTGCTACTTCATACACGTGCTCCGCGTCCGGGTCTGAGGCAATGCTTTGAAGTTCACTGGCAGCTATGTCTCCTCCAACACCAACTGCGAACACCTCAGCTTTACCTTGCGCTGCAGTTATTGCCATTTGTAGAAGAAAAGCTGCGTTACTGGCCATTCCGTCAGTCAATATGATGATAAGGTTCCGGGCATCTGGTCGTTCGCCTCGCCGATTTGCTTGGAAAACCGTATTGGCTGCGAGATCCAGGGCACTCTCTGTGTTAGTACCCGATCCTGCACCATACGCCAAACCGTTAATAGCGGTCAGGAGGCCGGCTTTGTCATTAGAATAATCGTCAAAGTTTATATCAATACCTGCAGTAGTTGCGAATGTTATGACCGCTACCTGTATCGAATCTGAACTGATGTTTGCACCAGACACCAAATCTGCCAAGAACTGTTTAGAAATGTCGAAATTCGCGGTCCCCACTGACGATGACTCGTCAAGGATTATACTAAGGTCAACTTTTTCAGATGCGCAATCTGCATTGAAAAAAAACAGAAAATAAACATTTTGTTGTTAATTTGTGGAACGTTTCGTACTGTTCATTTTGAAAACCTAATGACTGAATTTGACAAAAGCATCGGCTAAAACATACTGAGATATTCTTTAATTCCTTAGTGTAATAGCCTATTCCCTTTTGAGAATAGATACATCCTTTACAAGAAATATAAATAACATTAACGGGTTTTTGAATCCTTGGCCGATGTTTATTCGTCATCTCAATTTATCATTTGATTCCGGATAACTAAATACATTTTAGAGTTCAACTGACACCAGAAAACCTTTACCAACCACATCGCATCATGCCGGAGTATCAAAATACATCCTTGATAAAAAGAACCTGATTATCAGAATCCTTCCATGTTCGTAGGTTATCATCAAATTGAACATTTTTGGAAAGGACGTAATTTCACCTCATAATAATTGTTCAAAGTAAATAAATCTGGAATTATTACGCATTGTACATAATAGAATAACATGGGTGCTACATATGAATTGTGATACATGTTTAAGATTGAAATAGGAATGTTATAGATGCATTTATACATGTATACACATACTTATCTGCCCATTCACCTTCACAAGGAGCCCCAATAGAACGACTAATACTTGAACAGCCATCATGTTGGTAGTGTGGTCGTAGACGATCCCTGTCGTGGCAGTTATAAGAACCTGAAAAGGTTCAGTCAATTCAGTAAAAGGGAGCACAGGTTGAAGTTATACACAAGGAATAGTAATGTCAAGTTGATCTTTTGTATTTATTTCACTTGTAGATAAAGCCATGAACCGTAAGAAATAACGGTATCCATAATGATGGTAAAAAATTAGATGTAATGCACCCTGAATATCAAAGTCTGAACATTCGAACTACCCATTCATGTATGGCACAGCTCATCAGTTTTTACGACCTGTAAACGGTTTGGCCAATCAAGTGTTTGGGCGGTTGACACACCCACCTTCCATATGGTGAACATAGATTACTGAAACATTCACTTTGATGAGTTAGTTTAAACGACATCCATGTGTCACATTATGAGGCTAATGTTCTGGCACATTAGACAGGTCTGTTATACAGAGACCATACTAGACTAACGTTTATATATATAGTCAATGCGACTAATCAAGTATAAATAGCCAAATGGTGTACTGCTTTCTCCAAGTGAGATTTGTAGAAGGTTTCCTGAAATAAGGAGTATTCATCTACTCGTTCAGTTACCTGCATCACCAGTTTGTTTGGGCTTTCTCCAAGTGAGATTTGTAGATGGTTTCCTGAAATAAGGAGTATTCATCTACTCATTCAGGTACCTACATCATCAACTTGTTTGGGCTTTCTCCAAGTGAGATTTGTAGATGGTTTCCTGAAATAAGGAGTATTCATCTACAGTAAATAACTCGTTCAGGTACCTACATCATCAACTTGTTTGGGCTTTCTCCAAGTGAGATTTGTAGATGGTTTCCTGAAATAAGGAGTATTCATCTACTCGTTCAGTTACCTACATCATCAACTTGCTTTTTTATTATCTACTGTGTTGTTATTTTCAGTGTTCAAATGACATTTCTAGCTTTGATTGGGCTCAGGTACGTCTGCTTGTAAGTTTTGTATTCCTCAGTGAACAGCCACGCATCAAATTCTAATCCAATCTATTGTTGATACATAGAAGTGATAGCGAGAATATTGGACAAAACATCAAATCGGAAATTTAAAGCGTTTGATAACATCGAACATGTGAATTAATCCCCGTTCTACAATATGTCGATTTGTGTTTTAAAAAAATCCCATTTCTGGTAGCACAATTGCCACGTTATGAGTGGAAAAGACAGGTCTTTTTGACATTTTATTTTGAGGTGAGGTGAGGTGAAATCAGGTTTAACGTCGCGTCCAAGATTATTGCACTTATATAGCGACATGCATGCACGTGTGTGCGTGTGTGCTGCTTGTACTAGTCCGGACTGATGCCGATTTATAGTGCTAGCTCACTGAGATACCATGCCGCAGTTTAACATGAATACCCCACTCAGACACAGTATACTGACTCCGAGCTGACCAGTCCTTGTTAAAGTCCCTTAATGCCGAGCGCCAGACAGGGTAACAACAAGTACCATCTTTTAACGTCTTTTGGCATGACGCGGCCGGGGATCGAACCCCGGACCTTCCGCTCTCCGGGCGGACGCTCTACCACAAGGCCACGGAGGCGGTGGTGGTCTCACATTGGAAGTCGTTCAAAAACTGTTTGCACTTTGTTTTTTAATATAATCCCCTTTGACTTTGACACAGTATATTTGATGCATATATTTTCACCACTGTTTTGCCTTTTGTGCCTAATGGGATAATCGAGGCTGCCTTTTCTCTGACATTGACGTTTTAAATTTCTTTATAATTCACAAAAAGTGTTTTATACAAGCTGATTTAAAACCATGTATATTATTAAAAATTCAAAGCATTTGCTTCATTTTGTTTCAATTTCAGTATCCATTTCAAACGATTTGATTTGTCAACATCATACGCCACTATACCACACGCCAACGGATAAAACGTCGTTCCTTGATTTATGGGGCGATTAAGGGGCTAAAACAACGATTGGTCAGCTCGGAGTCAGTGTACTGTGTCTGCAAAAGTGTGGCATGGTATCTAGCACTATAAAATCGGCATTATTCCGAATTCGTACAAGCAGCCACACAAACACATACACGCACGCACGATATGTAAGTGCAAATAATCTTGAGCGCGACATTAAACCCCATTTCACATCACCTCATGGATAAATAGTTGTGACATTTAGGGATAGAACATTAAGGCAAGATGTAGGCATCCTCCATGCCCACTAACTGTGCTCCCCTCCTCTTAATATGAGTGAGTGAGTGAGTTGGGTTTAACGCGCTTTTAACAGTTTTCCAGTTATATCACGGCGTGTCAGCTTAATGGGGGAGGAAAGCCCGAAGTGATGCAGGTCTCAGACGTTTACCACTTCGGTGAAACCCACGAGCACGGGCATGGTGCTGACAAACCTAGAAACATAATCGGGGCGAACCGGGATTCGAACCCACAATCATAGGTTTCTGGCTTGCCCAAGGGACGCAACTCTGCACAGCGAATCGCGGCGCCTTAGACGACTGGGCCACCCGTGCCCCCTCTTAATATGAAGTCATATGCCAAGATATGTCAGAATCGTTAATACATTGAAGGAAAAATATACAACCAAACATATCATTCAGCAGTTTTCAATCTAGAAACCTGGACCTCTGATCTCTTGACATAATATATGTTCTTAACATGTTTTCACGTTCTCTTGGCTGTTAGGCTTCTTAAAAAAATAGTGCTGTTGAATAGAAGTGTTTAACCAGGAGTAAAGATACCATGTGATAGCTATGATAAAAGTGTGCTGTGGCCACATATAGAGAGACGATTGAGGACTGAACGAAATTACCTTTGTAATGTAACAAAATGTAGAGAATCGGACCCGGATCTTCATTGTGACGAGCGAATACTTCAACCACAAGGCTATGCCACCTCCCCGTGAAATGACAGGGACCTCGTCTCTCCTCCCTAACTGAACTAGACAATCTTACTCCTCCACAAAGTTAAAGACATCAGGAATAGGCTGGGATTGGCATTCACAAAAGCATGGAGTGAAGTTTGTGACTAATCTTGGCCTTGAGCATACGACACTCTGAAATCAAATACAAACCTTAATCCTGTTTGAACCAACAGGAGGAATCTGGCTTCATAGAAAATGAACTACCCACCTCTCTAGGATTCGAACCTGATTATACCTGGATCTTTGGCGAGATGCGCTACACTACCGATTCAATTAAAGAGATGCTGAGAGGGTTTGAACAGTTGAAAGCTAATCTGTAAATAACAGATCTAGTGGATGAAATGATGCGTGATGTGATGCTTATACAGTGCAGTAGCTGACCTTTCCTGACCTGAATTGGCCGACTGACTTAACCTGATTTAGTCTACTGCCCTCACCTCAGTGAGTGAGTTTGGTTTTACGCTGCTTTTAGCAATATTCCAGCAATATCATGGCGGGGGACACCAGAAATGGGCTTCACACATTGTACCCATGTCGGGAATCGAGCCCGGGTCCTCGGCGTAACGAGCGAACGCTTTAACCACTGGGCTACCCGACCGCCCCTGCCCCCACCTGAAAGTACCTTGACCATTACTGCCTGAATTGACCCGAGTACTCGTAAATCTTAATCTCAGCATGCACACAGTGTTTGAAGTCTTCAAAATGTTGGTCAGCATCAATAAATAGTGCTGAATAAACTTCTCGATCGTTGCCTATCAAAACACTTTATATTATCCTAACCCCTTGCTCTTGTGAAACAAAACTGTCCTTTTCTTGGTCCAATCTAACACAATCTGACATTTCCGACACAGGATTATGTTTACAGTCATAAACGGAAATACAATGGGTCAAAAACATGTTGCACCAGCAAAGAATACAGATACTTTTACATAAATCAGTACATTCACGAATGTCCAGAATATGAATATGTCACAGCGTTATCTTTATCGGCTGGTTGACGTGGGCGTCAAGTTTTGGGACGGAGCTTAGACGATAAACACCCACAAGGCATTGGTCACTGCCCAAACTCATATTATTATACGAGCGCCTCAATCAGTTTGCTGCCTCTTACAATCGAGCATCTGGATGTAGAAATAAAATGTTACATAAAGATATTTACTTGCATTCATTGCACATAAAAATACTTTGATCGATACATTATTTTTAAACATGAAAAGTCAATGCAAGAGAAAACCAGTCTAGATTATCTGCCGAAACAGATTCCATTTGGCGTAAAGGTGAAAATAACTGCAAACATTTAATAAAGAGAGAACTGAAAATCAGTGATGACACCAGATGTTCGCAAAAAGGGTAAGTGTGTCCTCCCCTACTGATAGTACCCGCCACTCACTCAATTTGCATGAGACCCGTGAAGATTCCGGGGTAGAATAGGTCTTTAGCAACCCATGCTTGCCGTAAAAGGTGACTATGCTTGTCGTAAAAGGCGACTAACGGGATCGGGTGGTCAGGCTCGCTGACTTGGTTGATGCATATCATCGATCCCAATTGCGTTGATCGATGCTCATGATATTAATCACTGGATTGTCTGGTCCAGACTCGATTATTTACAGAACGCCGTCATATAGCTGGATTATTGCTGAGTGCGGCGTTAAACAACAAACCAACCAACCAGCCAACCAATTTGCATAAAAAAGTAAACATTCACTGCCTGACGCCATACAGCAGTACTCCTGTTAAACAAACCGCCTCCGTGGTCTAGTGGCAGAGAGAGTTGAAGGTCCGGGATACGATCCAAAATGATGTTCAAGATGGTACTTGTTGTTACCCTGCCTAGTGCTCAGCATTTTGGGGATAAAACAAGGACTTAATTTAACAATGTTGAAATAAAAAGCCAACATGACAGTTAGGTAAGCTAAAAAAACACTTCATTATATCAAACTCGTTTTAGTAGCGAGACGATTGATTGAACAAGTTCTGTTTGTTGGCCGCTTGATTTCATACACTGAAGCAAATTGTTGGAGGTTATGAACGTTGTTGCAAGTTCTCCAAGGCAACAACTCATGACACGGCGTTACACCGACGAGTATCGTTCGAACGACTCGACTCCTTGTCTAAGGGAGGCTACTCTTACTTTGCAAATCGAAATTCAAGGCCGTGTATACTCCGGC